CTTAGCGATATAAAGTAATTTCTTCGAATTTTTCAGAATAAACATAATTTAGGAAGACCACTCGTTTTAAGCACTAAATCAAATATTATTCCTCTCTATCTACCGCGCGTCACGCGGAGGAAAGAAAAGATAAATAGTTAAATATATCTATGCAGCGTTGTGGATAAGTTTTCTATTCTTGCGTTACCGTCATACATTTTTATCGCTTTTTTTTCGGAGCGCGCGGTCTCTATCCTTCTATTTTTTACCGACCGCACCACATTTTCTGCGAAAAGAGGTGCATTCACGGGTTTTTATCGCATCAATTTTTTGGGGTTGCTCTTTTCCTCTGCAGCGACCAATTTCGCCGCTGTAATTTTAAATGTAAATACAGAATGGGGGGAAGGGAGCGCCGCACGCACGGCCTACGGTTATCGAGATCGATTGCGAATCGGGAACAATTCAAATATATCGCGTGATAATATTTCGTTCGGCCCTATCGAAAACTGCAAATGTTTTCATCGGACGGATAAAAATCGTCGTCCATTCTCGCGCGTCGGGATATTTTTATTCCGCGCGTTCATTGAGCTTTCTAATCGACATCGTGAAATCGAACGCGATTTTTTTTTATGTGTACGCTCGTCCGCTGTCGCTTTTGTTTGCTTTAGCGCGACTGGTTGCGGCACGGCGATATAATTACAGGCTCGTTAAACTCTAACGACAGCCAATCCAAGGAGAAACATCTGGAGCCGATGCGTCGTGAAGTGATTAGATAAATTGTCCGATAAATATGACATTTATTGGCGCGGCGTAAAGTAGCGCGCGACAGCGCAAAGGTGCACAAACGCGTGTCGATAATAACGATAGTCGATAGAAAAGCCGATTGGCGACGAGACAGCGTTAAAGCGCATTTGTCTTTCGTGTCATTTTATTCTGTCTCAACGAACAGTCTCGATTTCCCAATAGGAGGTACAACGGAGCTAAATTACGTAAAGCATGATACCGAAAAAGGAATCGTTGAGAGTCACTTTCCGTTCTCGTGCTCTTTGCCCTTTGTGCACCTTCTCACCTCCGCGCGTATTGTATTTTCCCGGAAGGAAAAAAAACGCGAAATTATAATTCGCAGCAATCAAGTATCCAATTTTCAGATTCGAGCCCGCCCGTTTAATTATTCGCGACATCCGAAATCCCGGAAGGTGCGATTGCTGCCGGGCGAAAATGTGTTTATTCGGGTTAACGCTGCGCCGCGCGCAGAGCGAGATGAACGCGGAGTAACGCTAATTAATATTTACCCTCCGACAACATCGCACTACCGTGACGCACTAAACATTCCCGAAGTGTGCCGCCCTTCCGAAACAGTTGCGACACTGTCGAGAAAGGAGAAACGAAGAAATTTATCTCTAGTTTAAAAAGAAGATTATATAATTTTATCTCGTTTCTGAAAAATAAAAATTATAGATTTCTTTTTCTTTTATAAATATATAAAAAAGAATTGAAAATTACGAATGGGTCGATTGCTATCACTTTTCAAGATTTTGCTTTAATTTGATGCAGATCTTCTGCAAAAGATCATAAAATCGAATACGAATTTAAGAATATCTCTCTTCGCGTCGCTCAAATTTTCAAGAAGGATAAGACGCTTAGAAAAGTCGCGGAATCATCATTGATTTCAGAGACATTAGACGAAAGTCATCTCGTTCATCCATTAGTGGATTAATCGACCATATCTACGTGTCCCTGTATCCCTCATCTCTCTCCTTCTCTCTTTTTCCATCTCTCTCTCCCTCTCGCTTTCTCGTTCGTGATGCATCGGCCGCGCGCGCACATAAAAGCCTGTTCTGGGCATTTTCGTCGTCGGGGAGGGACGCGGCCCTTCCACCAGGATATACGATATGCTATATGTCCCCTCCGTGCCCCTTCCCCGCGTTATACTCCCCATCCTGGTGGGGACGACGACCGCCTCTAGAAACGCCCTTCGACTTGCTTCACCCGACGCGCGTATGCTCCACGACGAACAACGACGACGACGACGACGACGACGACGACGACGGCAGCAGCGATACTATGCAATATACTCGCGATATACGCACGTATGCAGGTACATACGTTCCTACGTGAGTACATGTGCGCCTCTGCTGATGCGTGCGCCACTCACACGCGCCCACACCTGGCCCTGCATGCGCGTGCACGTACGCACGGCGCGCGTATGTAGGGCAAACTGCATGGCGGAGCCCGTTCACAGTCTTCCGCAGTCTGTTCCCGACGTCGGGAAAAGGAAGGGACGAAGGGAAGCTAAAAACGGTCATCCCTCGGTATCGCTCGAACGTGACACGCACGCACGTACGTATACGCGCGCCTTCTTACGACGGGTGCCTCCCGGAAAGCACGTACTCCGGTTACTCGCGAATTAAAGCGACGGTGTTACGTACGGATTACAAACATCGTTCTTTTATACACGGAAGAGACAAAAAGGGTCGTCGTTTCAACGCGCACAGTGGGATTTTACATCCGAAGCGAAGCCGGGGAGAGCATGTCGCCGTTAGTTTGCCTGCATTCCAAGCTGGACAGATCGACGAATCCTCTTACAGAACGTAACATTGTTGTCGACGAATAAATATTATAATACTACACGTGGAGATTTCTTATCCGAGAAGCAATTCGAGTCGGTTATATATATGATGAATTCCCCGCGGCGATAAACGTGAGCGTGCAGAATTCATCTATGTCGAAGTTATAAGTACGCGATTGCTCGTGTAAAAAAAAAAATCGACAATCAGGGGAACGGAAAATGAAGTTAACTTACAGTGCACCTATGCGACATTAATTCTCAACGAAAAGTGCCTTTTGCTCGAAATCAAATAATATTTCACTGGCGATTTTACATATCGTACGCAAACACCCTTCATTTTTCATTGATAAGCTTTTCTATTTTTTCCGATCTATTCGTGTTTACGTGCGGCGCGACGAATAAGTACAATGTCACGTCGATGTATCTTATACTGTACGGGAATGGAATAATGCATAATAATTAATTCTAATTTACATTATGCTGCATTTTATCGCATCGACACGCATCATGTTCCCCGGGACACTTGTCACGAGCTGTCAAATGCTTGGCGACACGTAAATGTTCGCGTATCGTCGGGCGACCCGGCTTTTACCGTGTATGATAGAAAATCGCGCTAGATGCATTTAACGCATTCGTGTACACGCGTGGGGAATGTAATGCAACGCAACGCAACACTGACGCACCGACCGCCACCGCCGCCGCCGCCGCCGCCGCCGTCGCCGCCGCCGGTATTTTTTAATAGAATGACAATAGAGAGCTCAACAGTCGGGCGGTATCCAATTTTTTTTTCAATTTGCCGCGAGACTCAGGGCGTCCGGATTCGACACACCCCCGGTATAACGCGCGCTCACGCGCACGTGGGTTAACGGAGGGGACACTCCGCTGCCGTTCGCGTTACGAACAGCGATGGAAACATCCAAAACAGAAAAAACGAAAAAAAAACACGCTTCCACTCCACCCAGCGCTCCCCCCTCCCTCTCCCTTCCCCATTGCGCTACCCTCGGAGAAAATGCCGACGAAATTTACTTCGCCTCCGGTAAGGTCGTGGAAATGATATCCCGCGGCTGGCGCCGAAAATTTCACGGGGTACCGCGCGGAAAATTCACCAACCCGAAAATCGCGCGGCGTTCATTTCGCCGCTCCGCAAAACGGGCGGAAATGTGAATTTTCGACAAAGAGATACGACGAACAATCTGATTCACCGCGCGCAATTATCCGGGCGGATATCACCGACGTGCACGGAATAACTATCTCTTTTTTTTTTCTAATTTCGTTTCTAGCGGTTTCAAACGCGGTAAATATTCTGGAACGCGTTCTGTGTATATTCGCGAATGTATTTCGATTATTTACGCGTCAAGACATAAAGACTAACTAATATATCGAAATACAGATGAAACTTGCGTGCGTGGCGCAGTTTAAAAAGAACGTGGGCGCTTTCGACACGAACTCGCTATTATCGGAAGCAATACACGAACATCATGCTCTTTTGTTGGAGACGAAGCCTTCCAATTATCAACAAAAATGACGAGGCCGTATTCTGGTCAATATCTAGAACCCCCCTCCCCTAAAAAAAGAATTTTTAATTACCGCTTGTCACGAGCTAGAAGAGTAATTGAAAACACGTTTGGAATTCTTGTGTTACGATGACGCGTATTTAGAAAACCTATGTGTATGAATCCAAAAACGGTAGACAAAATAGTAATAGCGACAATACGTTTACACAACTATTTAAAAACAATTAATTAGACCAGAACGTATAAGACCAGAGGATAATAAATTATTATTGTTCATCGTTTTACGTTGACAAGAAGTAAGAAGATGGCAGTATTAATTGTACCAACAATTTGGAGGAATGAGCATTGAGCATTCTACAGGTGTTGAATGTATTAAACCAACCAGTGCTCATCGAACAACAGCACAAACATGTAAACAATGAGATATTATTATATATTATTTTTTAACTACTGATGCAGTCCCATGGCAAATTGATTACATCAATACAGGTTTAGATAGAGATCCGCACTAAGTAAAAGATTAATAATTACTTTTTATTCGTAATCAATTTATTATAATGAATTCTTATCACACGGTACAAATTAAAATAATGCTCATATCAATGTATGTGTGCTATTACATCTATTTATATTTTATCTTTTCTCTAGTTTAATTTACATAATCCGCCTTTCTAGACTTCATACAAGAAATAGTTATAATAAAAATAATTTGAATGTTGTAATGTTTATTACACTCTTTATTATATTTCAGAAAGTTTATATTTTAAAATTTAATTTATCTAATTTTTTTTATCTTTTTTTAACAAAGAATATAAAAAGACATTATTTTATCAAAATTAATTATCATATATATATTTCTTATAAAATGTAGCAAAAACTCTTTTTTGCTACATTTTATAAGAAATTTATAAAATATAAACTTTCTGAAATAAAATTACCTATGTCTTATCTACAAAATGTTCAGAATGATCTAAAATACTTAGAATCGCTTGTTTTTTTAATTTTTTTTCGAATGTAGGCATTTTTTTTAATTCTGCAGCTATCAACAAATTAAATTTTTCATCGCGTATTAATTCATCAGAGCTATTTGAAACCATTTGATCAGATGATTGATTAGTCATAGGAACATCTTGAAGAGTGTCTTTTTTAACATCATCAAGAACTGTAAATAAATCGCTTATACAAGAATCTATGCGTTTGTTTATTTTGTTTAAGGGATCAGTATTTTTATTGATTGGTAATGTTTGTAGCGCAGGAGACGACGAATCTCTTGATACTAAATCACTCAATGCTGAATCTCTTGATACTGAATCTCTCGATGCTGGATCTCTTGATACTTTTGGTATTGAATCTCTTAAATTTGTTAGTACAGCCATGCCAGAAAAACTATAAGTTTCGTCTTGAGGTGATGGTAACGGTGTGTTTGTTTCTATTACATTTTCAGTTTGATGTGTATCACTTTGAATATTTAGAAGACTAGGCGTTGTAAGAATAAAATTAGTTGATGTTTCGGATAATTGTATATTATCAGGAGAGACATGTGGTAAATTCTCATTAAAATCAGTGTTTGGTATCTCTGAATAATTGGATGGAATCGTTTGATTCGATGAAGAAGCATTACTTGTGACTTCATTGAAATTAGAAGAATAGATATTTATCATATCAATTAATTGCTTTTCTACAGTTGGATTAATTCTTGAATATCCCCTACAAAATGATAATCATTAATATTATATATTATCATTATTATATTATCATTTAATATTATCACATATTTTATATTAAACTAACTTTCTTCGTTTGATATGTTGTTGTAAAAATAACATTTTGTCGAATAATGGGAATTTAATTCTGTAAATGTCCACCCTGCCAATTTGTGTTTCTATCTTGCGCATCTCTTTTGTGAACCGATCACGTAAGCATATCCATCTGTTTTTACAAGTCTTAACTACAGTAAATACATACATTAATACATATGTATATATATATATATATATATACATTAATTTTGCTTTGTTTATATAAAAAATTCCCAAATAAAAATTTAAATCTTACCTGAAATATGCAATATATTAGCAATTTCGAGCCAAGAATTTTCCCTCATTTTTAAATCTTTAAATTCTTTTAAAGAATGATCATATAAATTAGGAAAATTTTTTACACTATCTATGAGCAGTTCATCATACGTATTTCCAGAACTTTCCACGCTGTGTTCAAATATTTGGTTGTTTTCATTTTCATTAATACACGCTTCATTATCAGTACAGTAGCATTCATCAAAAGAAGCCATCTTATCTTTTCTTTTCATAGTCCACCTTTATCACAACCGTGATGAGTACATACGATCAGACAGATGATCATTTGTGACTTGAATGTAAAAAGTAAAAAGTAAGAATTTCATCCTTAGATTCGTGTGTTGTATGTAAAAGTGCCACGTAGCTACGTCGGGAAAAATTTAAAAAACTGCTATCCACGAATGATAATCGCACGTGTTCTCGTTTTTTCTTCGAGTCGCGAATTTCGACCGCGCAAATGGAACGACGCTCATTCTTTATTAGAGCAAAAATTACGTAAATATACGAAAATACTAATAGGGAAATCTATAGTATACGTAATGTGTAGTGTAATATTTTCTTACATTTTTATATGCGAAATTTTTCGAGAATAAGGATTCAGATCGGCGAGAAACAAAACTGTGCTTTTTATTTAAACCGCTTGGCAGTTAACCGCCCTCCCGCGCCGCGCGACGTTCCTTTTAATTTTACTTTTCTTGCTCCGTTTCCACCGCGCGTGCGACGACGACGTCGACTAACCGCGGAAAAAAAATGAGCAAACGGGTAACATCGTGAAACTACCTACCAAGAATAAGAATACCAGCGTTCCCTTCCCGCTTTTTTTCCGTGTGCCTCGTTAACGTCCCTTTATCTTCCGAAATTTCTCTCCTCGAGTCGCGCGAGAGTAACTCCCCGGAAAAGAAGAAAAGATTTGGAGTAACCACATCAAAGGCACGGGGATGCTCCGATAATAAGGCGACATGAATTATACACAATCTCGTTAAGATTAAATCTAAAATATTTTTTAACAAAACTGATACGTGTTCGCAAATAGACTGTTTAAGTTCCTTACATGTTCTGAAAACTCGCGTATTTTTATGTTTCACTTGTTCTTTCTTCGAGTGTTTTAAATATTCCCTTTTTTTCGGTATTCGAACGAATTGAAGCATTTTGTTCCTAACCGAGCTGAAAAACACTCTTACGCGACTAGAGAAGAGAAAATTCGAAAGATAAAGGGACGTTAACGAGGCACACAGAAAAAAAAAGCGGGAAACGAACGCGATATTCTTATTCTTGGTAGCTAGACAAAATAGCGTCTATCGTCGCCATTTTTCGTCCTGCTACAAGGAGTACCACGAGGAATCCATCACTTTCGGATCGCGAGGGCGCGTCTTACCCCACGAAACAGCGCGCGGACGTCCGTTAGGGACGTTGTACGAGGGTTGTTTGCCGATGTTAAGAGGTACGGACGAGCGGGGTGAGGAAATGTCGCGTCAGACGTCGCCAGGAGGGTTTCGATTGGGCCGTTCAGTGGCAAAAGACAGATCGTCCGGGATCGCCTTACCGCCTGTTCGATTCTATTAAACCGACCTACTCTATCTCTCTGCGCGCCCTTCGGCGCCCTACCACACGTACACACAGAAAAAAGAGAGAGAAAGAAAGACAGAGCTTACCGTGGAAATCCATCGGTGACCCCAACGAAACTCATTCCTATCTCGTTTCAATTTCGCCCGGAACTGTCTCTCTTTTCGTTAAGATCAATTTATGGCTTCCTCTCACGATCGCGTCTCCGCTGATGAAATCGGGAAGTAAATGTCGCGAGGTTCGTGTTGTAGGAGAACTTTGACACAGTAAGAAACTAGATTGAGAGCGACTTTTATTTAGACTTATCAAGATGCCTGCTAACCGTGATTTGATTAATTCGCCTTTCGCTCGAATTTGATGAGTTATTCCGAAAACACGACGGCCGAAGTTTCGGGGAGTGGGATTCGCGTTGTCGTTAGCTGATTGGTGCGCGAAATGAACGGTAGACAAGTCACGGATATTGGTATGTATAAGAATAACACACATAAGACCTACATAAGAAATATATACAAACAAAGGTAATAAGAAAATAATGTAAAAGATGAAAACAAACGGACAAGGTCTAAATTCACATTAATACGATGTAAATAAGACGGAAACAATATTTACATTTAACTTAATAAATTAATGATAAAGTTATTTCTCGCTTTTCTTCGAACAGCTCGATCTTTGCGCTTTTTCGTTTTGCTCTTCCGTTTTTAATTTAATCGCTAATTCCACACGTTAATTAGACAATTACGTATAAGCAATGATGATTGATAATAGTCTTATCCTATGAATTATCTCATATATATTCTCATTTTGAGGGAAAAATAAAGGTGCAATCAAAGAAATATAAGGAAGTGTACGAGTAACATTTTCATCGCATTAACGAGACTACAGACAAGTGAGGATGTGAAATAAAGACGCGACTAGTGATTTTCGCGTTATTAAATTTATGCGTATAATAAGCCTCACGATTAGTCATCAGGGCACGCGATTACGCATTTCGGGATTCCATAAAATGCTCGATTATTCAATGTCGCCGTAACGCGAACGCGTTTGTGGAAAATTCATCGGTTTCGATTGGATTGCTGGGAAGTAGAATGGCTGATTACGCTGTCAGAACGGACAGTCGGTAAGTACTAACGCGCGTGCACACATACGCACACATACGCGTGAAATAATCGACCTTGCGAAATGAATGCCGCTAGTTGGAATAATATGCCAACTTCATGGATGATGCATGGCCCGCTGAGTGACAGCTGTCACGCTTGCGGCGTACTCGGACTTAGAGTTCTCCGGCGTTCGCCAAGATATCGCAGACGGGCTTTGCGAAAAATCGCCGGCCTGAGGAACAATGACGCCGACAGCTGCGGAACTAGGCGAATCCGAAAGCAGCCGCGCGCGCTCGCTCGTGAAATTTTCAGTCGGAAACACGACAGGTGACGTATCCACGTAACGACCTACAAATTGAATATTAAAGCGCGGAAAAGCGGCGTTTACATGTGCGTGTATGTGTGTGCGGGAAATGAGAGCAGGCGGAAGTACGAGAACAAAAATGTCAGAGGAGACGGAGACAGATATCTCCTTCAAGAGATTTATCTTCTTTACAGATATTAAAAATAAAGCTGTTTATTATATATCGACGTATTCTACAATGTTGTAAGCTAAGTATATATCTTCGCGATTAATCTATCGAATTTTATGCATTTATACATATATTCCTTAAGAAAATGTGTAAAGTAGCGGTAGTCTATAGAAATGTGATCAAAATTTAGAAAAAAACTTTCAAAATTTATCAAAGGAAAAAACTGATCGGTATGTATTTTTTAAATTATAAGATTGTTAACTCTGTAAACACTTTGAGATCTCGGATGGAGACGTCCATTCTGTGCCAAATACCGAACTCATTTACTCAGTTTCACTGACAGAAACAGCGCTCGCGACTCCAATCTAACGGCGGTAAAATCCGCGTCGCAGATTTCTCGTCGTCCGCTAAATTGTTCACCGAGTGCCACCTATACGGGAACGCCGCGGCCGGCATTAAGACGGGGAAAAAATAGACAATTAGCCGTTTGGCAGACAAGTGTGGCGTACGCGGCCGTTAACGAATGGGGAAAAGGAGGGCTGTTAGTTAGCGCGGGCGTAGAGTTGGCGCGAAAAAGGAGATAACGGAGCTCCGAACACGGATTATCGCCGTTATAATTCTGCAATAGAATTAACTGCGGTCTTACTCTTCGTTTAACACTATGTGGCTCTCCTATATCGCATCTTACGATACATGAATTCTTGTTTGCGGTTCTTGAAGTTTGTTTCTTATTAGAATCCACTTACGATATCCATTTTTATTTTTTTTTCTGCATCACTTTGATTTTTACTTATGTTGGATATTCAGTCACTTCATATTGATCTTCTCGCGTGTACGTAGAGGTTCGTTGAACCTAATGTTATTCCCGAGAAGGACCGTGTGGAAGTATTGCATATACAAGTGAATAAGTTGAATATAAAAGCAGGAAATAGTCGACAGTTGGCGAACGCCTCTTCGCCTCATCAACTTGCTTGCTTACTTACGTGTAAATGTTGCAACCGTTATCACAGTCGTCTACTTCCTTCTTTGAGTTTTCGCCCGACGGACCAATAAACGTTACGTCCACGCACCGCGAGTATATAAAGTTTAGTTTCGCTGAAGACTTTTCGCTATACGAAAGGGAGGGAAGGCGGGAGGTGAGCGTATACGGTCTATCTTACAAACGAGACTTGCAAGCTCTCGTCTTGCATACGTTATGCCTACACGTAAGACACGTAAGAAAATAGCTCGCGTGTCTCGCAACGTGTTATAGGTGTAGACTGTTGTAGACTGTCATTGCCCATTCCGCAGCCGCCCAAAATACCGGTCTTTCCTTCTACGAGGGCGCAATTTCGGTGACGCGTCCTCTCGCGCTAGCGGAAAATGTTTCTCCTAGTCGCGGGGAAACACGAAAGGGAAGGATACGATGGGTGAAAGGAGTGAGAGGGGGCGGGGAGAGAAGCGCATCGAGCGAACGAACGAGCCGAAAGTAATAATTACGACGTTAGGACCCGGGCGCGCTCTCGATCCTGGCATGCCCCGTTATGTCATTATCCCATTTATTATAACGATCAGGAGCCACCGCGGCGGCTCGACCGGATTCCACGCCCGTTTCTCGCTCGACGGACGCAAATTGCCCGGCATCGCAGCGCAGTCCTTCGTGCACCGGCCGTCGCGGATGATACACGATGATGTCTTGATACGGAATGCACGATCGTTAATCGCCGTTTAATCCGAGTGCCGCTCCTCTCCGGGGCCTTGGCCAAACACGGACAGACGGATGGACGTGCGCGGTGCGTGCGTGCGTGCGTGCGCGCGTCACGTCGTCGTCGGCGCGGCGGACGGTCGCCACGGTTTCTCTCCGGAGTCATAAAATTTTAAGAGATAGGTCACGTCGGGAATCAGCCCGCCGTGAAGCTGCAAATGAGCGCGCGCGCTCGTTAATTCGGAGTGTCTTAAGTAAACGTTGAAGCCGAGCAAACGAGCGGTATGCGACGTCGAAAGTATAGGGTGCTGAGAAAGAGAGAGAGAGAGAGAATTACGGGGCGGTATATATTTTCGATATACATTCTTCGATCACGCTAAGATTTAACTTAGTTATTACGGGTGTCCGTTGTTAACGGCATGTTCATTAAGGATTCAGGAATTTACACGCCGACATACCTCCGCTAGCTACGAAAATCGATCCGAGATACATAACATTACACGAGTGGTGTGTGTGTGTGTATGTGTATGTGTGTGTATGTGTGTGTGTGTGTGAGAGAAAAAGAGAGAGAGAGGAGTAACCACCACTTCACAAAGAAATGCGAAAATTTTTTTTTCGACTGTACCGAAATATCAGCCCCGTTGGACGATAATGCACGAGGTGGGGATCTCTTTTCTTCTCGTATCGACTAGAATTCGTAGTAGAATTCGCGCTCGATTGTTACCGGAGGGCGAACCCCCAGGGAAATTTGCGGAGTGCGTGCGAAACGCAGCCGCGGGCAAATGATTTAGTAATGCCTGCGTGCGAAGCGAGCCGGTTTTTTGCACAGCGAGTCTGGAGAACGGGCGTGACGCGTAACGCAGGTTAGTTCAACGCGCAATTCGATAAGACGAAAATTGAAAATTATGTAAAAGAATGTACCACAGAAAAAATTGCTCTCCTTCGATACTGCGAGAAAAACGAGAGAGAAAAAAAAGAAAAGAAAGAGGCTCGTACAATACGAATTCTCTGTTCTTCCACCGTCGAGATTTAAATTGAGAAAGCAATGTAGAGGCAAAAAAAAAGTATCTCATTGAATTGATATTATCCGTTATATTTATCGCTCATCGTGCGATACTCTCTAGCGAAAGCTTATCGCTATGTAAATAAGAAGAGCGATAAAATTGAAGGCAAAGGACGCACAACCGTTGGCAGTAAAAGCACGGGCGAGCTCCGCGAGTCATATTAATGAACTTGAAAAAGTGCCCAAAGGCACAAAGTGTGCGTGTTATATGTGTGGGTAGAACATAAAGAATACACTTCGCCGATAATTAGGTAAATACGAGTGGTGCCGAGAACAAAGCGACACGGCAATACCCGACGTGCGCGGCGAAAGGATACGCCGGCGTTATCGGAACACGCGGAGAATATTAAACGCCAATTTATGCGCCGTAAATAATGACAAAATGCGTACCTATAAAACCGGAACGATCTCTTCAGACCGCGATAACTTACGCAAATTGCAAAAGTCGCGACGATCGTAATCGTCAACGGTGTGCGAGCGCGGATATAAACGCGGTCGCATCGACGGTGATTTCGCGACTATGTGTAAAGCCTACGCACCTTATACACACCGCGTACGCGGTACCTAACTATCCCCTTTCGAATAGCTCGCTTTTACATTTTTTCTGGTCGATAAGAGATTTTGCGTTAAATCAAATATGAGGTACCTAACGCGTGTGAGCCCGTAAAATTAAAGGCTCATCGTGCGCCGCAGAATCGACGTAAGTATCTTTCGCGCGCGTTCCTACCGCGATTGATATCACGAACATCGCGCGCGAAACTTCCGCGTGTCCGGACGAGTCGCGCGATGCAAATCGCGCGCAATCTCGTTGCGATTTTCGTGATTAATCCCCATGAAAACGGGTCGCGGCATCCGAGCGCGCGGCTGGGCTTTAATGTCCGCGACACGACACGTATCGAATCGGTGTTCCTCGCGCGGCGGACAGCAAAATGGCCCCCGAGAGTCGAAGCTCGCGCACGCACGCATGCACACGACGCCTCGGGGACACGCGAAGCCGTCGTAATGAACGAGCGTGCGTGTGCGTGCACGCGACGCACGCAAACGCGGAGGCCCCGGCGCGACCGAGAGACCGGCGATCACCGGCGATCTAACGTATTATATATCCAATACGATTCGTGCACGTCTTCTCGCGTCGCTCTCTACGCGGGAGAGCGTGCGCGCGGCTTGCGGATAACCGCGCGTGTCCTATTTGCACGCGGCGCGCGAATACACGTGTAAGCCCGTTATGAAAGACGCGATTGCCAATCGCGTTCGCGGCTATCCTTGTTTCTCCGGCAAATAATCGAAACCTTATTGCGTCGTAATGCGCAGATTGTCTTAAATATTATCTTAGAATAGCGGTCTCCATCCTTACATAGGGAATGCGCAAATATCGCGGGCAGAAAAAATCGCGGGAGAGGCAGAGCACGCGACGCGCGAGGCAGGCAGATGGGAAACGCTATCTCTCGGATAAGCCGCGTCCCATATCGGTCTATCGTTGAATGTCAACTAACGAACACTACTACAGGCACGTATCCATTACTAAACAAATCACGAGCGCCGTTCGACCATGCTTCTGTAAGCTCCGCCGCTGGGCGCTGGATAATTAAAGCTGCGAGGCACATTTGATCGAGTTTCGGTCGCTCTCCGTCCGACAGACCGATTGTTCCCCATTTTAATTTTTTTCGGAAAATTGAAAAAGGAATTCACCCCCGCTTTCTCGATGTTTTTATTTTTTTTGCTCGCGTGCGCGCGCGCGCGTGGATGGGATGCGCCGCTGTGCCTGTGTGCACGCGCTACGGCCGGGCGAAAATTGGAAATTGATTTCGAACGGAATTCCGAGCGATATGTCGAGCACGTATCGCGGACGATACCGAAATTTCGCGCCTATGAAATAGTTTCTCGGCTGTACCTTCGCCGGAACGATTCATCAGAATTGTCATTCGCCGTGGATGTGGGTCACGGTGGACGAGTGTATTTAGATGCGGAAGAAAAATGAAATAAAAGATTGCTGCGAATCATCACTTCGCATTTGAAATCGAGCTACACTCATTTTACAGATCTTTTTTATAGTATTCATTATATTTCTAAAAAATTATGTTAAGAAATATGCACAATATGTCGATATTGGTGTTTTCGGATATGCTGTTTGATGACATTATATATTTTAATGCGTAAGTGCATATTCTACATCGGACGCTTTACAAATGTCACCCTGACGGACTTGCATACAAACGGACAGCCTTGAAGAAATATGACTATATAACAGATGGAGAACAATGTCAGAGCGAATAAAATCGTTAGAATATGCAGAGTAAGGGCGATATCTGGACACCAGCTGAAAGCGTCTTGAAAGCGAGAAGCTGCAACCGAAGCGAGAGAATGCGTCTAAAAGACGATCTCCAGCGTGAAGGAAGGTCGCTCGCGATTCCAGTATTTCCAGTATTTCGGGTGTCCCGCGGCGAGGCGTTTCGCTCGCCGAATCGAACTACTTCATTAGCGGGAAGCCGTAATGATGATAACGCGCCTCAACCGCGAGGAACGAGACGATCGCCGACAATTAATAAAGAGCGGCGGTATCCGGTGAACCGTGCCACCGGATTGCGCCTGGGGCTAGTTGAAAGAACGAAAATATATATATTTCGAACGACCTGGCTCAGAAGCGACAGCAGCAACGTACAAAACTGTATGTACGTGTATCGTCACCAAAGTAAAAATCTCACGTCTCGTACTCGTTTTTACACAAACAAAATCTATTTTTAAATAAATATAGCGATTGATGTAACACAGAATAAATAAATATTGACATTTTTATAGTCATTACACGAGGTCCTATGTCCAATTTGAATCTTATACATTTCACCTTTCTTCGAAACACGTGCCGATTCAAAAGCTAATTATTTTTTATCATATTTCTTATACGCGTATCACGGCGTTTTACCTGGTTATTATAATGGAATATAGGGCGTATCATGGGACCACATTTCAATATATTTTAGCTTCTATTTAAAAAACAGTCCGTCCCTACGGCTTTCATCCTGTCAAATATTCCCACGCCTAATGCTTACTAGCGCCTGAAGAAGCGCACGCGGTGTCGCTTTAAAACGGGAGTAACGAGGTCCTTTCAACCGCTGTCGTCGCCAGGATGCCTCCAACCGTTCTGGTAACGCACCGTCAGTTTCCTGTTTGCGGTCCTCGACAGCCTTTCACCGATATTTACTCGCGGGCCTAGGCCCTCCCTTGGGATCGCTCTCGAAGACATCTCGGAAGGACCCTGGACTCGGGCGGCGGTGTCTCGTTTTTGTTTGCCACACCAGGATTTCCCGACAAAAGGCCCGGTGCGTCGTCATCCCTTCCATCTTTTCCCTTATAACACTAGGATTAGAGTCAAAAGGATTCCAAGTTGTTCGTGCTAATTTTTCGCTTCTTCTCACTGCTTTTCCTTCAAGGGCCCTTCAAGAGGCCTTCCTTAAGTAGGAAGAGGAGTAAATCTCCACAAAAATTCAGGTCAAACCAGAAAGTCAAGCCTCGTGATGATTCTTTAAAGTTATTGTTAGTTCGGCGCTTCCCACTTTCTATCGTTTTAGTAAACTCGTGTTTACACATAGAAAAAGAAGAAACAAAGCGAATTCTAGGTCGCGAAACGTGACACATGTTTTAATTGTGGGTGAAACTCTTTAAAGAGATTTTAATAATTATTGACGCATTGTCATGCAAACAAGGTAGCAACTGCATTTAAATATTTTATAAGATTAGATAAAAAAGATTCATTATTTGATCGAATACATTGAATTGGGAAATTAGTAAAAACTTGCAGATCAATTTTTGTCTTACATCCAACTTGCACCTATATTTCTTTTTCAATGTATCAATTATCATATAAGGTCTCCTTGACATGTTGACCACATTAGAGAGAGTGAAATTGTGACTATGTGACTTGCAAAAATTTGCAAAGAGCTACTAGAAACTACCTTTTCATTGCGACACTATTTCAAAGAGTTGAGATATTTAGAATGCAAATTCTTTCTACAGTGAAATTCTGCGAAACAATAATCAGACCAAAATGGTTTCTCTATAGTAAACCTTTTCTCCTGCCTTCTATTCAAAAAAGTAAATCTTAAAAAAAAATGAAGGCATACATGGGATAAGAACCTGGGGCCCACCGACTACGTGTCGTTCTCACACGAAGCCACGTGTCAGACCGTGTCCACGATGACGCAGCACTTATGTACGTTTATTTTTCCAAATTTCGTACACGTTCGAAGGAAAAACAAGTCACGCTGTGCCTTTCACTGTGCCGATAAGCGACCACACTCACTTTTCTTAACAAGTTTGTGTTCCACCGTATTCATACGGATCGCTTTTATAGACGTCGCTTTTCAGATAGCGTGAAAAAACATATATAATCCTTCAAAAGGCTCTTCCGAACCAAATCTTTCATAAATCTGGAAAGGGTTGGGCCAGGTGAAAAGGGCTGTCATCTATTAGCCGCGGCAAGAAAGGGGTTTGGGAGATATTTTCGAGAGGCATTTTCTGGGCTCGTGCACAAACTGGATCCTGTCTCTCTATCGAGGTAGGTAGTAAAAAAAAAAGAGGAAAAGAGAGAGGGAGAGAGAGAGAGAAAGAGAGAGAGAGAGACCTTAAGGGCGGAAGACGCACGCCCGCTGCCCCGTCACACGATGTAGGTGAACCATGCATAATGTCGTGGCCACATTACCTTTCGACGACAATCTGCTCTCATCTCTCCTCACTCTTCCTACCTTGCTCCCCTTTTCTCTTTCTCTCTCTATTCCTTCATTCATTCCCGTATTCATCTCACTCTTTTATAAGCACTCATTCGCTTTCCTCTCTTCGCGCGTAGACGTGTTTATGCGAGTGTTTACGCGCGAAAGAGAAAGAGAGAGCGCCGAAAGAAAAAGGAGATTAGAAGGAAAGAAGAGAAGAGAGAAAGAGAGAAGAGGGAGAAGAAGAAGAAGGAGAGGAGGCAGAGGAGTGGTCTTAACAAAGGTCGATCTGCCACGCACTGCACGACAGCCAGCCATTGACATCGGGTGGGCTCTGGGTAAGGAGGACTAGATTTCACGAGCCAGCGATGCAAGATCCTTCAAAGGACGCCGACGGGCAGCCGCAAAAAGGATTCGCAAAAAAAAGGACGAGGTAGAGAAAAAGAGACAGAACCACCATGGCCGTAGAAAGGGGACAGGCTTCTTCTTTAGTTAATGCTGGCTTCCGCGCACCCCGCGTCGAAAAGAAAGAAAAGACGAGAGCTAGGAGGAGGAGGAGGGGAAGAAGGGGGCCAAGGAGACAAGGCGGCCGAGGCTAATAGAGAGGAAGAGGACGAATAAGAGGAGCGCAAAGCGGGCGAGAAGCGCGGGGGAAAGAGCGAAACTACTTGACGGCGAAATCCATCGCGATAACTTAATCCCAGGATTACGCTGCGGTTAGGTATCCGCGCGGAAATCCGATCGCGCGCGCCTGACGGGGTCTGTCTGGGCCGTTGTGAAGGAACGCGACTGCTCTGTTTCCGGTTTCTCGATCGATTGCGCGAATTCGGCCCTTTCGCTGCCGTATATATGCGATTAACGCGAGGATTATTATTCGGGCGCAAAAGTCGATACACCTTAAAATTGGATTGTAATTAGACAAAGCGAAAGCGTCAACTCTTTTTGCCGATTTTTTTCTGCATAAACGCTTCGTACAAAAAATTATCGTATAAAATATTATTATTTTAATAAATATTTCTTTTTAGATTTTTGGAGAAAGATCTATATATCAGTAGAGTTAAATAGATTCAATGATATTTCTATTCCACTGATCGTCATCGTCACGAAAAATTGTATCGCGGAAAGTGCCGCATGCAATATACATCAACTATGATCGCTTCGCAATTTTGAATCAGCCTGTCACGCACGTTCAGGCAGGTTCAAGTTAGCGATTAATTGCAAACTAAAGGAGCAAGCTTAGAGTAACTATGTAGTAAGTAAGTAATTGTTTGGTTGGCGTTACGTACAGTACTTACAAAGCCGTGCTTGTCGCTGATGTTGTTGGTGAGCTTGAGTTTGTGGAAGCTCACGACCTTCTGCATCCACTGTTCGCCGCTGCTGGGCGAGTCCGGATGTATGTACATCCTCTTCGGCATTTCCGGGTCCGCCTTACCCGCTACCATCCACCTACTGCTCGCAACACGCGTAAGAATGTATTAGAAGCCTATCGAATGCAGTTTACCACGTAACATGCCTTGACAATGATGAAGATACCGGAGATACCGCTCTTCATCGTTATCTAGGAACAAACATCGCTCGGATCGAAACGCAGACCATAAGAAAAATGTCCGACGGGATGGACGTATATAATTTATTTCAACGTCAATTTCTATCGCGTATATTTATGAATGATTTAGAGTTTATATCTCTAACGAAAACGGTCTATGAGAAATATTTAATTTACGTTCCTCCACCGCCGGAACGAATTATCCAAACTAGATTATAATTCATTGGTTGATTTCTATTCGATACATCTAGCTAGACTCGACTGTAATTTGGAACGAGAACCGTGCTAATCGTGCTTCCGATAATCCGAGCAGATTCCAACAGTTTTCTCCGCAGGGCAGGTAACTCGCCTATGCATCTTCTCAGACGCAGACGACGAAACCGATGATCTAGAACGTGCCGAAAAAAAGGTTCGAATTGCCTGGTGTTTCTCGTTGGCTCGAGTAGCTACGATCCGCCGCGAGCATCAACCAGACGCGATTGTTGTCTTTTAAAGGAGGCGTGTCCACCGTTCGTACTCATTCCCAGTCGTCGCAGGTGGGTCAAACTCGAGCGCGAAGGACCGAAGGAAGAACTCGTTCGACGAGTTCCAAAGTGGCTGCGGTCGCCGACGTGATGTAATCGTTCATTGTGGTCTGCGTTTCGATCGTCCGAAAACGTCGGGTATTCGAGATGCCTCGCGAGAGTTTTCTCGAGGTGGAAGAGAGCGCTAATCGTGAGTCCCTCTGTCGGAACGCGTCGACGCGTCTGTTGCGAAAAAGTTCCCCGGTGGCGGTGCCGCCGCGCGCCGCGTCGTCGAGAAGTGCGTCGAAAGTACGTGAAAGAAATACACGGTTGTTCACTTTTGCAGCTAAGCAAATATTTGCGCCGGGCCAAATTCGAGAGAAACTTGAAACGAAAACGGGCAAACACACGTCAAAAGTCATTTTTAAATCACGAGCCGCGATACGCCGAAATATGATAATGATTATCAACGCGCCGGCTGCTTGATGAAATTTCTAGAGAATTATAATATTTATTTGGAATACACGCACGCGAAAAATATGCTTTTGAGAAGACAGAGATACGAAATTCACGAAGCATCTCGGCTTAACTAATGTGAAGGCTTGCGATCCCCATACAAGTCGAAATATAATTTCCCATGGGTCCGTCCCTTATGTAGCACTTCTGCGAGAGAATCAAACATTCATTATTTTTTTTTTTTATATAAATATTGCTTCGTTCACAAGAGCACACAAATATATAGATATTTACTAATTAAACATTTGTAAATCAATTTTCCGTCTATAATCGATTTTTCGCACGAAAAAATGCGGAAATTCAACGTGGATTTTTTTACGCACGGCAGATTGGATTAATCGTATTTAAATTCACGATAAGGTTGCATTGGGGTGTTACAGATAAATTATCTTCGACGAGTATGAGGAATTGTTCGCAGCGCACGCTCCACACTTATTTCAGGAGAGTCTCCTGGTTACAGATAGTGATAATTTACGATCGGGACCGATCCAGGATCATTATTTCAAAATATAATTTCGAAAATTGCCTGGGGAGTACCTTCTATATGTACAAAAAATGTAATTAAGTGTACCTCCCAGAAGGTTTTCAGTTATTAACGTAAGAGCTTTAATTCGTTAATTAAAAAGAATGATCCAGGATCGCTATGATCGCGCAGGGTCAAAGGTATCACCTGTTGTGAAATTTATAACGGCATTCGTCCGATGCCACGATGTCCATTAGAAGTATGTAGCTAGCCTGCTTGTCTAACCCGAACACCCTCACTTTATACGCGGGAAACATGCGTCTGCGAACAATTTTGCAATCGCAAAAAAAAAACACACACCATACATTAGTTCTGCCGTTCACTGCTGGGTTTTCGTTACTTGCTCCCCGTAAAAACGGAGAACCGTGCTTTAAAATGAACGTCTTCGGATACACTTCGGGCGCGCTTGGTCAAACAACCGATTTTAACGATCTCGACGAGTGAGAAAATATTAATTCCGTTCTACAAATTCGTTTGTGTTTAATTTTCAAACGTTGCGTATAAAGGAAACAAAGATAAAATGCAGATATCGAGAGTGGTATCGCGCGGTATATGTTGAAAGAACGCGATTCAGAAAACACTCGCGAGAGATCGTTAACACGAGTTGTCCGCGACAGTTATATTTTTATGCGAGCCCGCCTTCGCTTTCCCCACACCACGCAAAACCTCTACCTGTTGTGGAACTTGTATCTGTAGTCATCGGCGGCGACAATGTCCAGTAAAAGGATGTACTTGGCCTTGGCGTCCAGACCGGAAACTCGGAACTTCATCTGAGGAAACATCTGCCTAGACCCCCGATCAACACGTACAATTCGATTAGATCGCTTGCTCGATTTAAGCCAGCTTAGACTAGGTATCATGCAGCTCGCAACCATCGTGTCTTATCTTAGACTAGTTTAATCCTAATATAATTGACAAAAAAAAAAAACAAATACATTATCTCTGCGCACGTGATCTGAAAGTAATTTCTCGTTTGTTATCTCTGCGAAATGTACAAAAATAATGCACGATATTTCCGACATATAAAAAAATATCGAAAACGCATTTATTCTAGAGTTCGCGAAAAACTCGCCTCTCGCGAAAAGCGGCATTGGCTCGGATGTGCTCTCTCGCTCCTGAAACACGAGCTGAAAACGGATGAAACTCGCGCGAGGAACGTCGCGCGGCCGCGAGTCACGTCGGCGACACCTGGCAGAATCCTGAAAGGTCGGAATAGAAACGTGCACGAGTCAATCCTGGCCGCTGTCAGACGGCGGACGTGCCGTTGGCTTCCGAGGCGCGCGTTCCCTGGAATAAAAACCGGACCCCGTTCCCCGGGCCAAGAAAACCGACGACGGCCGTGTTGCGCGTCCCGGTAGCGGCCGTCAAAGATGCGTTCGGCCGAGGTCGGCGCGTCGAGGAATTATATTCGCCCGACGAAGAGAAGAGACGCGCGCACCGGCGCGTCGCTCGAGACACCTAGAAAATCGTCCTTCGGAATCACGTTTTTCGGACGAAATGCGAGATCCACCGTCGTGTAGCTCGCCGCTTTCATAATAAAAATTACACGGCATGTTTTTCTCGAGAACAATTGCGCTTCGAAATTCCGCATGATGGATCACATCGGGATTGTATCGTCCTGCACGCGCTAATAATGTGAAAAAGTAAACATAGTAAAACGTAGTATTATAACCTTTTTTTTTGTGCTGTAAAATACTCCCTCGGAAAATCGAAAAAATAAACACGTTTGAAAACACGGGCACTTTGATTAATTATCGTCATATGCACTAATGATAAAATGTACCATGCTCGTATCGTTCATCATGATTCGAGAATTTTTTCAGTAAAACATTCAATACGATTCAACAGCAACAATTTAAGAATGATAATTCGTAGATTAACATACATTTATATCATTACTATTATATTATCTGGCATATATTTATTATCATAATAAAATATTTATATCCGCCACGAGAGTTCATTATAATTCTTAGCTCCTTTGTAATATGCTTTCCAAGTTTCATCGCACCGAAACTGTAAAATTTGGTAAAGATACTTAAGAACCGTTATTATACTCTCAAACTTATTGACACACTTCAACGTAAAGCGTTCTTGCAACGAAAAACTTAATTACCATGATTAGATGGCAAGAGCTCGCCAAGTTAAAAAAAACGGTTTAACAGGCTGACACATCATGATGTAGTTAGAGATGACGGTATACAAGACAAGACGTGATCGGTATGTCTGAGCTCTGTGCTCAGAAATAAGCAGCCATTAATAATAGCAAATAAGTAAAGAGTATTTGTAATTCTTCCGATTCTTTGTCTCGATTCAAGAACGAGGATGTACAAGGTGATCGACAAGTAACTTTTCCAATAACTAGGCAAATAAAAAGTAAATACGGACTATATAGAAATCCTTGAACCCCAAGGGTTACCCCAATTCCCAATAAAATTATAAAAATGCAAATACACATAACGGAAAAAATTCATCTTATATAAGTTTTAACTTTAGATCTCTCTATCGTGAATCGGACGAAAATTAAATTAATCAGCGATTCAAAAAAGATCTCGCGAGTAAGGCCTGTCGAATATCGATCGAAGACTGTTACTGAGAAGGGCCGCTCGGTAACCATCTTTCGATCGATATTCGTCTTGAGACGTCAAAGGTATCACGAGGGATTTCTGGTAGCATCTGCCTACTGTCTGTCCGTTGAGACGTTCCCCGTCGAATTTCGGCGCGAGCAAGGACAGGATCTCGGCTCGACGACGCATTCGCTCGCGATAAACGGGAGACGCCGTTCTCATTCACGTCAAGGAGGACATTAAGCCGGATTATCCGCGCTATGTGAGCCAAAATATCCCGCGGGAGGAGACGCGCGCGAGACGGTCCTGCGATGAGCGTGAGTGCTGCCGGTGAGTGCTGCATCGCTAAGCAAATGCTAGCGGATGTCTTCTATTCGCACGGCCACGTGATCGCTCGATTGCGTAACGCTAAGATATTTTATCTTCGCCGCGCGAAAAAGAAAAAATGCGATTTCGTTACATCACGCGTCTTTATAACGCCACTAAATTAATAGCAGAGAGCAAAATCGTAATAGGAGTTATCGTGTGCTCGCGTCCTGTGTAATTCACGAGGCGAGCAATCTACAATCCGGCGGATATCTGGCTGAACTTAAAAACAATTAAAAAACAAGAATGCAGACGGACGCCGTTACGAATTTCCTATAAGTGTTTAGCGCGAGCGTCGTACGACATTTAATTAATTCAAATCAAATCATCAAATTAATCAACGACACGAGTGCGTCATTGGGGTCTGCATTTTCGATTAATTAAAAAAATCAGCTCGAGACGATTGTGTAAACAACCGTCTCTTGCCACCAATATATTCATACCTACAGAATATTAATTGCCGCGAGGATATATATACAAACAAAAAAAATTAGCGGCGCTGTATTATTTGATGAACACAGACGAGAGTGTAAAAAAAAAACCGGGTGTATATTATATCACATTGAAATCACGCACAGGTTTAAGATTTATCCGATCGTCTCATGTATCATAGAAGCGGCACGGCGTCGATTTCTCGCGCCGCGCGACGCGACCTTCTCTTCCGTCGTACATAACTCTCAGCTGGCACAGCTGCTAATGAGCGACAATACGGGTAAACAAATTATGAACCGGCCGTTGTCGCCGTACGAGGTTGCTGAAAGCTGTAAATCTCGTCTGATAAAACGCGTCTTTGAGAAATCTCGTTTTTACCGCGCGGGCGCAGGCTCCTTCCTCTTCTCAGTCGCCGTACATTTAACGACGTATCGCCGCACGAAACGATTCGATAAGACACTTGCCACCGATCGAAAGCAGCTGTCCGTTCGTCCCGAGTGACATACACGACTACCATATTTCCCGAACCCAAATTTGGGGACACACTGTCGATCGGGCCGGCTATCGCTCGTTACGTGTTTGTAATAGGTCAAAGCGACCCAAAGCAGCATGTGTTCACTTATACGATCTTTTTAGGTCTATCGTCTATCTATGTAATCTTTCTTTTCAAACAGTTTCCCGTTTATATATTTTATGTATTAAATACGAAAGTGGACTACATATTTTATTGAAGACATAATAGATGTGTTATATATATATATATATATATATATATAACACGTCTATTTTATTTATATATATTTTTTTTTTAATCGTTGTTTTATATGTAATAAAATTAATAATTTTAATTTAATTCGAAGCAATAAATTAATTCGAGCAATGAAAAATGAAAATGAAGATTAAAGACTTTTTCATATAGCGTTGTTTATTTCGAAAACTCAACGAGAGACATAGTTTTCTTTGGAAAAAAAGGGCGTGACATTCCTCAGGAAGCCGAGAAGGCGCCGCTCGGCTTTAATGGCCATCGTCTTCCCAGATTACGGGAAAGGGCTTTCGGGTCTCGAGATCGGGGCCTTACGCGCCAGCGACCGAGTCATCAGAAGTATTTATCGGGTACGATCCTCATTACAGTTTACTGTCGGGGGAAGAAATTAGGTGCCGCGTTACTGTTGTCGACGCCGCGTCAATGTCTACGCCGACAGTAATACTAAAAATTAGATCGTAAAAGAAGCGATCGCGCGCACGATAAATCGTATCCGAGAAAATTAAAAGGATCTACGGGATACGACTCGGTTCCGATAATGGCATTCTTTTCTACGATTTCTACTTCGAGATCGAGCAGACCCGTGGCGATAATAAAAATCGTAATCGTGTAATCTTTCAGTGTGTACGAAATTCATTTATATAAACTTCCCAAAGAACAGTTATAAATTATATGTAATCCTATTGTTCTTAAGCTTCGTCAGAATAAACAAAAATATGATGCAATAATCTAGGCGTCTAAATCCACGTTAAAAAAAAAGTTAAGGTGGCGTGAAATGAGAAGTCGACGGTGCTCATTTTCTCATTTACATGTACATATGTGCACAGCGCTACGCCTATGTTCCGCGATTATTGCTATTAAATATGTAGCGTGTGCGACGACACAATTACATCGGGAAAACGATAACGACGACCGTGGCGATATCGCGTTATGATTGATTCGCGGAGGTATCGCGCGCGATGAAACGAAATAGAATACAAAATAGCGCGACGTATACGTAAAACGGGTAACTTTGTCGAGGCACCTGCTCCGTCCGACATTCGATCATCCGGCGTTCCTTCCTCGTTTGTAATTCTTCGTTCCACTACAATGTTCAAAGGGCTTTACACATAGCAATCTCTTTCTCTCTCTCCCTCCCGAGCGCGCCGCGCCAGTTTATTCCATATGGCATATGGTGTACTCCCATTTTCGAGTCTCTCTCGATCGATCCACGAGCGCGGACCTATATCGCGAATGCCATCGTTAATAAGTTGCGAGATGCCAATCTTTTTAATCGATCTAATTTATGCCCTTCTCTCTCCGCTTACGATAATCGCCGATGATCACGATGATCGCAATTAACGCTCGATCGGATAGATCCATTCCTTTTTATAACAGCGTATAATCCTGTCAGATTAATTGTAACTTTAATTCTATATGTCTCGTAATTTAACTACAATTAGCATATATAGATACATTTAATTAATTGCACACTATCTATAAATATTAATTATACTGCAGATATTAATTATATATGCAAAAACACACGTGACACAGAGCTCATGTATTTTTATCACTTTATATCTCCATTTCGATTATATTTCAATTTAACGTCACCAAAACTGCGCCTTCGTACTCTCTCTCTCTCTCTCTCTCTCTCTCTCTCTCTCTCTCTCTCT